GGAGGGAGGAGGGAGCAGGAGGCATGATGAGGGGGGAGAGGGAGGAGAAGGCGGGGAGATCAGCAGCAAGCTGAGGGGAGAGAACACAGGTTGGTGAAGGAGGAGGAGGGGGGAAGAAGGAGGAGGGATTAAAAGAGGTACGGCAGGTTCGTGTCGTGCCGACCCCAGCGTTGGTTTTTGACACCGCAGGGATCGTTCAACCTTGAACGATCGGCCGCTGCCGCAACGTCCGATCGTTCAACATCGATCGATTCTGGGTCGCCGGCGGCGTTCAACCTTGAACGCCCGCGCTGGGGTCGCCGCTGGTCGACACGATTCAAACATACCGTAGGAGGGTGGAGGGAGTATGGCGGAGGGAGGAGAGCTATGAAGAGGAGGAGCTGTAGGAGAAGGACGAGAGACAGCGAAGAAAGGAAGAGCAGGAGAACGAACAGGTTGAGGGATGATGGTGATGCTGATGATGACGATGCTGAGAATGAGGATGCTGCTGATAGTGATGATAATGGTGATGATGATGTCGATGCTGATGCTGATGCTGATGCTGATGCTGATGCTGATGCTGATGCTGATGCTGCTGATGATGATGATGATGATGATGATGATGATGATGATGATGATGATTATGATGATGCTGCTGATATTGATGCTGATGATGATGCTGGTGGTGAGGATGATGGTGATGAGGCTGTTGATGCTGATGCTGATGTTGATCTGCTGCTACTGCTGCTGCTGATGATGATGATGATGACGATGATGATAACGATGAGGCGGAGGACAAGAGAGGATAAAAGAAAGAGGAGCGGGAAGGGCGGAGGATGGAGCAGGAGAGCACCAGCTCGTGCTGCCCCGCGCCGAGCTCCGCGTCCCCGAACGTGGCAGGCGACATGGATCTGGACCTGGACGTCACCATGCCGCGGCCCAGCAGGGGCGTCGAGAGGGGGGAGGACAGCAAGAGGTCCTCCCGCGCGCCGGCTTTCGCTGCAGCGGCGTTTCGAGGGGTCGAAGATGGAGGGCTTTTTTTTCTGGCGCCCCTGGCTCTCATGGGGCCTGCGAGCACCTCTGGAATCTCCCTGGGGCTCGGCGAGGGTCTGACTAGAACTCGCCATCCTCTGGGAGGGCTCTGAGACCACGTGGACGACGACCTCTTCCTTCTCCTCCTCGTCCTCCTCTCTTCGTCCTCCTCGTCCTCCTCCTCCTCCTCCTCCAATTCCGCCCCATCCTCCGCCATGTCCCCATCCTCATTCACCCTCCACCCTTCCCTTCTCGGTCTCAAAACACCACGGACAATCTATATTTGTCCATCCCTCCACCAATCTTCACCTCCGTTCCTCCCGTCTCCCTGCGCCGTTCTCCTCCCTCTGCTTCCTCCTCCTCCCCACCAACTCTTCACATCCACCACCTCCTCCACGTTGTTCTTCTCTCCCTCATCCGTTCCACTCCCATGCCTCCTTCTCAGTTTCCTCCTCCGTTTCCTCCTCCTCCTTCTCCTCCTCCTCCCTCTCCCCCCTCACCCTCCACCCCTTTCTAGTATCCGAGTTTTTGCGGGCCTCGGCTTGACTTGACTGTGTCCGCCACGCTCTTGACATACCCTTTTCCTGCCCGTAGTTCTTTCAGGAGCCTAGCCTGCAGCGGTCCGCAGCAAGAACATTCAGACAGAAGGCCCCTCCTGGTACAGTCGGGGCGTTGACCTAAGGAGCCCTAAATAAGGAACGAGGCCCCTTTTCTCCATAAGTGAAGCTTCGAATTCCGATCGAAGACCTAAGGAAAACGTCAGGCGAGCTGCAAAACAACTAAGGAACACTGAGCCCCTCCCAAACGAAAAGGGTCCCTTCGTCAGCGCCCCGCCTGTAGGGCGCGCTGGGCGTTCCGCCTGAGATTTCTTGCAGCCGCCAACAGTTACAAGGATGGATGCCAGGTCTTTTTCCAGATGCAGCTTGCGCCGTAGCGCTGCGCACAGGCCTCGCACCAATTCCAAACAGCTGCTGGGATGGAGGGCGGGTGATTCTCGCAATATGGTTATCACCTCAGGCCCGCGAACAGTTACCTGAGCAACTTCGAACCAGTACCATGGCCCCCACAATTGCGGATAAGAGTGAAGGGACCGGGAAGGGTCGTCGGCATTCTGCGACGCCCGATGACAACGAGAAAGCCCGCCGCAAACGCCCTCTTTAATACAGAATGCGCAACGAACCCGCCAAACCATATGTTGCATCCTCGGGGGACCTTATGTGTCCCATCGCGGCCCTATCCGCATCGAATCCATGTCGAATCCATGTCGGATTCGTCGGATCCGTGTCGGATCCGTGTCGAATCCGCGTCGACTCTTCGTCAACTCCGCGTCGAGTCCGCATCGAGCCCACGTCGGGCACAAGAACATGCATCACTTTTGGGGACAGGCGAGGTCCCCCGCAGATGCAACGTAAACGCCCTCTCTAATGCAGATTGCACCACGGGCCCGCCAAGCAGAGTGGGTGGGTCGCGGGGCGGGTGAGTCGTGGGCGGGTGGGTCGCGGGTGGGTCGCGTCACGCGTCGCGAGTGGGTCGCGAGGCAGGTCGCTCGGCGGGGCGTGGGCGGCGACGGCTGCAAGAACGGCACGACCAAGTCTGGGCTAACGGCGATGTTGCTCAATGGTGATGTTGGGAGCCAACGTGTAGGAAATCACCAACCACACTTTCCTACACTTTCAATATGCGAATGAATCGAGCGAGCACGACACAGCGAATTGCAAGAAAGCGCGATTCACGCGTTCCCACACTACGGAAACCTACATCGCCGTTAACTACATCGCAGTTAGCCCGTCTACGGCGAGGACGACAAGAACGATAATCCGCACCGCGGAACCCCGCTGCAACCACGCAACGAGGCACCGTGTAAGACCGCTCGGTCCCCACACTCTGACAAAAATGGAGTGCGGTTCGTGTTCGTACTGTGGCGATCTCCTTAGCGCGTGCTTTGGTTGTAAGGGTGTCAAGTGCCCAGGTACAAAGAGGGAAGGCGCTTCCTGTTCGACACGGGGCCCTCGCTGGCGACTTCCTCACACGATATGGCCGCAAAACGTTGGAGAGGTGCAATGGCTAAACGGGCGAAGGATGTTCGTTTCCACACTGGGGCTCTCCCTTTCTACCTTGTTATGCACTAGGGCAACACATGCAAAACAGTGCAGCATTCACACGGGTGGAGGGCGCTCATTCTCCAAACGAGGCTTTCGCAACACACTTCCGTTGAGTTTAGCGATCCTGCATCTTCGGTTGCCGCTTGTTCTCTTTTATTTCCGATCCTCACAATATCTATGATAGGGTATATCACAGTCTTCCACTTCCTATCCTCATCGCAATATTTCCTAGGCCCCCCTCCGCGGCGTGCGTGGCGGACACCACCACTCGTTAATGTTGTGTTTCTCTCTCTCTCTCTCTCTCTTTATTTTTTCATACACATATGTGTATATATATATATGTACCCGCCGAATTCCGTCTGGGGGGGTCACGACGCCTCGGTCTGTGAGATTGACCGCCGTGCCCTCCACTATTGCTGATGATCCTCAGAACATGTGCTTGCGCCAACGTGAGTAAACGCGTGTTAGCCTTTCAATGCGACGCACGCAGCGCAATGAGGGTCGACACAGGCTGCATGTATGTGGACGGGGTAGACACGCGCAGGGGGGTTGTTGACCTTTCCTGATCTACACGGACCCTCCTCCTCTCAGGAATCGGCCTCTTGGATCCCTGGGCTGCGTCCTGGGTAGCGGTGCAAAGGGAAGCAGGCCGCGACGACGAGACCCCCCCACGAGGCCTCGAAATGCTGAAAACACTCGAAAGCATAGCTGTGGGTTGTGGGGCAAGAGGATGCCGATACTGCTACCCCCCAGATCACTCCGAGGGCGCGCTGTGACCAGGAATCCCTCCTCCTCCTCCTCCTCCTCCTCCTCCTTCTCCTCCTCCTCCTCCTCCTCCTCCTCCTCCTCCTCCTCCTTCTCCTCCTCCTCCTCCTCTCTCCTCCTCCTCCTCCTCCACTCCTCCTCCCTGCTCCTCCTCCTCCTCCTCCTCCTCCTCCCTCCTCCTCCTCCTCCTCCTCCCCCTCCCCCTCGCGACAAGCCCAGCCGTAGAGACAAGGGCCTTCCACGAGAGGGGGCCTATGCTCGATCCTCGATGGCCGCCCCAGGAGTGAGGACGACTCAAGATCTGCGACGTCGCGATTTTCTAGCAGTGGACCCCGCCCACAGGTCTGGACCCTTTTCATCCCTACCGGTATTTTACTGTTGGGCTGTCTCGGGGCCCGGCAGGGGCCCAGGAGGCCGAAACGGCCAAGAGCCGCCCGTCGTGATTGTTCGACCTGCGAACGGGTCTGGGCGGGTGGGTTTTCGGATGAGAGCTCGGGCCTCCGGCGGCCGCTCGGAACGATCCAGGCGCCCTCAGAACGCTTTCGGCGAGGCGCGGCCGCTGGGTAGCACCCCGAGGCGAGAAGACCCCCGAGAGCCGACGAAGACCTTGGAACATCCCCGACATCCTCGACCCCAGACGTCCTCCGATACCATCGTTTCAGTCCGCGGCTCCAGCGATCCCGACCACCTCCCCGGGGTTGCTGCTCCTCCTCCTCCTCCTCCTCCTCCTCCTCCTCCTCCTCCTCCTCCTCCTCCTCCTCCTCTTTCTTCTCCTCCTCCCCTCCTCTCTTCCTCCTCCGCCTCCTCCTCTCCACCTCCTCCTCCTCCACCTCCTCCTCCTCTCCTCTTTCTTCTCCCCTCATCTCTTCCTCCTCCTCCTCCTCCTCCTCCTCTTCCTCCTCCTCCTCCTCCTCCTCCTCCTCCTCTTCCACTGGGGCCCGAGGACGAGCCTCGGAAGCTGGGGCGGGGGGTTGGGTTCGGACTTCGCCACGTGCTCGGCGAGGGGATCTCGGTGGCCGCCCCCAGGAGTCGAGTTAGGGGATTCACAACAGGATAGAGGGCAAACAAACCTACCTCGCTTTTGACCACCCTCGCTTCCAAGAGATACCAAGCGATGCCAAACTGCGGCCTGTACTGGTCAGGCCGCTGACGAGGAGGCGCGTGGTATGACTTGGTTTTGCCTGGAAGCGAAAACGGGGTAGGTAATTCACGCTCTGACAGGAGTGATTTTCCCCCAGCTTGATTCCCCCGTCGAGTGCACGAACATGCGCAGAATGGTCGTAGATCTACGACCGCTCTGTTTTTCTCGCAGATTCGAAGATACATAATGTAACATAGACCATTGATGTAGTCGATCCCCGACTCGAGGGAACTTATCTTGCATCCTCGGGGGACCTTTATCTGTCTCGTCGCGGCCCCAACCGCGTCGAATCCGGGTCGAAGCCATGTCGGACTCGTCGGACCCGTGTCGAATCTGTGTCGACTCCGCGTCGAAGCCAGGCCACATCCGCGTCGAGTCCGCATGGAGCCCGCGTCGGGCACAAGGCAAACAAACAGTTTTGGGGACAGGCGAGGCCCCCCAAAGCTGCAAGTCGGGTTGGGCGAAAGGGGGGGATAGCAAAGGGGGGGTTTGAGAATCAGCTCACGTAGCTGATGTTCCCGGCGCCTCCCGGCGCCGGAGGCGGCCATGTATGGAGGAATGGGCCCCTCGGTGAGGCCGACACCAGCTGCATGCAGCAGATTTCGTACCCCCCCCCTTTCCCAAGCCCCCCCTTTCGCCCGGCCCGAGCAAGGCAAATGTAGTCGATCCCCGACTCTCCTCCTCCCCCTCCTCCCCCTCCTGCTCCTCCTCCTCCCCCTCCTTCTCCTCCTCCTCCCCTCCCCCCCCCCCCCCCTCCCCCCCCTCCTCCTCTCTCCTCCTACCTCCCCTCCTCCTCCTCTTCCTCCTCCTCCTCTTCGCTCCTCCTCCTCCTCCTCCTCCTCCTCCTCCTCCCTCCTCCTCCTCTACTCCTCTCCTCCTCCTCTCCTCCCCCTCCCCAAAGCTGCAAGGCAAAGGTAGTCGATCCCCGACCCGAGGGAGGGAGGCGGCAGCGGCGGCCGGCCGCCGCTCCTGGAGCGGGCCGCCGCCCCCTGGGCCGCACGGTGGCGCGCCCCCCGGCGGGTGCGCGCCCGGCCGCCATCGCAGGGCCACCACGCAGACCTCTGAAGGGGCCCCAGGACACCTCCTCCTCCTCCTCCTCCTCCTCCTCCTCCTCTCCTCCTCCCCTCGTCCTCCTCCCTCCTCCTCCGCTCCTCCTGCTCCTGCTCCTGCCTCTCCCCTCCTCCTCCTCCTCCCCCTCCTCCTCCTCTCCCTCCTCCTCCTCCTCCTCTCCTCCTCCTCCTCCTCATCCTCCTCCTCCTCCTCCCCCTCCCACTCCTAGCCCTTTCGATCAGGGTCGGCGGCACCGGCCGTCAGGCCTCTCCAATAAATACACACAAATAAAAATACTCCCTATATTTTTATATTTTTGGGGGGTTTTCGTTTCCCCCCCAAATTCCCATAGTTTCCCCTATTTTCGGAGGAATCGAGGATTCATTGTGTCTGTGTGTTTTTTCCTCTCCTGAACCTTGCGGAACAAGAAACGCTGTGCAACCGGAACTGATGGCAAGGATGAGCGATGCAGTCAAAACGCCGTCATGCGGAACCCTAGGCAAGGATACCCCAAGAAGGAACGCAAACCTTGATAGAGGCCTCTCGAATGGGGTTCGAGTCGATAGGGGTCGGAAGATCGCGCCGCATCGGCAATGCATCGGCGACGTCGGCGATGCATCGGCGACGTCGGCGTGGAGAAATCCGGGCTCCACATCGAGCCGCATCGTCGATGCATCGGCGATGCGGCGCGATCCTTCAACCCCATCTACTCCGACCCCATCTAGGAGGCCTAAGACTTGAGATAAAAGAAACGCCGTGCAGCCGAAACTGATCGTAAGAATGCACGATGCAATCAAAACGCTGTCGTAACGAACCCTAGATCAAGAACGAGGCTCCCTTTACCAGAAGTTCAACTTCAGCTTCCCATAGAAAGCCGGAGGGGAACCTGAAACAAACTGTAAACCAATGAGGGAACACTGAGCCCCTCCCCAACGAAAAGGGTTCCTTCTTCAGCGGCCTGACTGTAAGGATGCAAGGGCCTTGGAATGTCATGCCGATGCTTTTCGAGCGGGGCGCGGCCGGCGAAAGTGGCCAAGGAGGGGCCGAAGGGCAAGGATGCAAGAGTAAACTTGAAAAGCTGTTTATCCTGACTATCAGTGCTGACTATTACTATCGGACCCTCGTCGGCGATGACTGGGCCGATTTGGGGTCGATGCAACCGCCCCTGAGCCGGTCCCCCCTCATCTTGACCCTGAGTAAACGTTCGGAGCTCCGCGCTGATTTCTTGGATCGGCGTTGGACGCCAATCCCTCCATCCCTGGCGCGCTCCGCGCGCCAGGGGCGGTGCTGGAGGCGTCGCTCGGGGGGCCCAACGCCGATGCAAGAGATCCGCACGGAGCTCCGAAAGGGTGAGATTCTGGCGTTTGTCTCCCCCGCAGGCCGAAGGCACGACGAAGATGTAGAAGGCCATGCCGAATCCGCAGGCCACGCCTGCATTGAGCGTGGACTACCTCCCCCGCTCTCGCTTCCAGGCAAAACCAAGCCATACCACGCGCCTCCTCGTCAAGCGGCCTGACCAGTACAGGCCGCAGTTTGGCATCGCTTGGCATCTCTTGGAAGCGAGGGCGGTCAAAAGCGAGGTCGGTTTGTTTGCCCTCTATCCTGTTGTGAATCCCCTAACTCGACTCCCTGGGGGCGGCCACCGAGAGCCCCTCCGCCGAGCACGTGGCGAAGTCCGAACCCTGCCCCCGCCCCGGCCTCTGAGGCCCGTCCTCGGGCCCCAGAGGAAGAGGAGGAGGAGGAGGAAGAGGAGGAGGTGGAGAAGGAGGAGGAGGAGGAGGAGGAAGAGAGGAGGAGGAGAAGGAGGGGGAGGAGGAGGAGGAGGAGGAGGAGGAGGAGGAGGAGGAGGAGGAGGAGGAGGAGGGAGGAGGAGAGGAGTAGGAGGAGGAGGAGGAGGGGGAGGAGGAGGAGGATGAGGAGGAGGAGAGGAGGAGGAGGAGGAGGAGGCAGATCTCCAGCGATACGATGTTCGGGTGCGTCAGTCCCTGATCTCGGCTTCCGGGGGCCCGCTCTCTGGCACCGGGCCGGGGATCTCCTTACTGAAGGGGCCCTGGGACACACAAAGAAGTCCACACAAATAAAAAGATCCCCCATATTTTCCCATGTTTTCTGGGTTTTTGTCTTCCCGCCCAATTCCCATATTCTCCCATCTTTTCCTTGGAATCGACGATTCATTGTGTCTAAGTGTTTTTTCCCCTCCTGACTTACCCGGGTCAATCCAGACCCGGGCCAGTCAGGCCGCGCAAGATCCTGCAAGATCCTGCCGGATCCTGCAGGATCCTGCGGCCAAGCCCGGATCAATACAGCCCTGGCCCTGCAGGATCCTGCAAGATCTGGTGCTCTGACGGACCCCCGTTAGCATGGACCCCCGTCTCTTGACCCCCGGCCAGGACCATCACACAAGGATCCGGGGTCGGGAGCTGCCCCCTGGGAAACGGTCGCGGCCTCGAGGGGCCGCGGATTGAACAGAACCCACATCGGCGAGCGTCAGGGGCCCAGACCCTCCTCTGAGCATCGCTAACCGAGCCCCATCCCCATGTGTGTGGCCTGGGCACCACTGGCCGAGCTGCCCCCTTCGATAGGGGATATCGGCCGTTTCCATCGGGTTTCGAAGGCAATATCCCCAACTGGGGTGCTGAGATGGTGGGGGTCCGATCCTGATCCTCGTTCGTGAAGCTATCCGTCCGTAGGGCCCAGACATTTGCGGATGCGAATGCTGCAAGGCAGGTGGGACGATGGAGGGCAGGACCCTATGTGGAAACGGAACGTGTGAGGGATGTGAAGCAATGGATGCGAGGCCGCCATGCGGCCCCTGTCGGTGGAGCTCCTCATGGGGCCACCAAAAGTGTGAGGAGTGTGCCGAATCGAGTGCGGGGCCACCATGCAGAACCCTCCCGCTGGGGCCTTCCGTGGAGCTCCATATGGGGCCACGAGGCGCGTGAGGGGTGTCCGGACATGGGCGCGGGGCCGCCGTGTGAACCCTGCTGCTGGGGCCTGCGGTGGAGCTCCTCATCTGGCCGCGAAGCTTGTGAGGTGTGAGTGTGTGTCTGTGTGTGTGTGTGTGCCGAATCGGGTACGGGGCCGCCGTGCGGATCCTGCCGCTGGGCCTTCGGTGGCGTGGAATTCCGGACAGGGGCCACGAAACTTGTGAGGGGCGTGCCGACACGGGACGGGGCCACCGTGCGGACCTGTGGGGAAAAAACCACACTGTGGGGAAAAACACACACTGTGGGAAAACACACACACACACACACACACACTGTGGGAAAACAACACACACACACACTGTGTGTGTGTGTGTGTGTGTGTTTTTCCCCACCGTGTGTTTCTTTCACACAGTGTGTTTTTTTCCCACAGCCGCTGCGGCCTTCGGTGGCGCTCCCTCTGGGGGCACGAGGCGTGTGAGGGGTGCAGGTACCTAAAGGCGGCCTCTGCACTCGACCCTCGCACCCGTGGGGACCCTGGGCGTTGTCACGCGGGCGCGTGCCCGACGGCGTCCACAGCCCGAGGACGCCTCCCCAAGGACGCCAGGGAGTGTGAGAGACGACTTCGCAAGAAGACGTGAAAGCGACACCACTTTTGCCGGCGCCATGGGCCAAGGGGGGGGGGGCATTCTCCTGGTGGCGTGCTCCTCGTCCCCCCTTCCCCGCTCCAGAGGACCCCCGTCCCCCGCTCGGGGAGGCGTCCCCCGTCCCCAGCTCGGGGAGGCGTCGTGGACCCCCTCCTCGCTGGAGGCGGCACCCCTGGCAGCCTGGTGCTGATGGTGTCGCTCCCTTTCCCCCTCAGGGCCGCCCCCTTAACCTGTTCAAGTTCCAGGTACGGGATCGCCTACGTACTTGGTATATCCGAGCATTCATGTGTCCATCGACTATGCGAAACTGCGTGGGATGTCCATAACACCGGCGCCGCATTCTACGCATGTCCCTCGTGGATCCGACGGGGAAATCAACTCGGGGGCAATCAACTCTGCAGTCGATCCCCTACTCGAAAGTTGCTCGAAGGGCTTCACGTCGGTCGGACGCTGTTGGAAGAACCATGAAAAGTAGGACGGCGTTGGAAGCAGATTGGCCTTCCGCCCGCCCCCTGAACAGGAGGGAAGAGGGAGCACCGCTCGACCCTTGCAGTAGGAAGGCGGCCAACACTGATCAGGACCAGAGGATCCAAAAAAATACTTACTTTCAATGGCCGAGGACCTCGGTCATTGAAAGTTCCGTACCTCGGTCCGAGGTACGGAACCGTACCTCGGACCCACCTCGGTCCGAACCGTACCTCGGTCCGAGGTACGGTTCTGGCCGCTCCTCGCTTATCTTCGCCCCACCTCCAGAGGGGCACGGCCTTCCCCGGCCGCTCCCGAAGCCCCCCCCCCTGCGCCCTCGGGGTGGCCGGCGGGGCCCGCCGTCTCCGGGCCGCGCGGGTTGCGGGAGGAGGGAGAAGGGAGGGAGACAGGAGGGGAGGGGGAGGAGGGAGAAGGGAGGGCAGAAGGAGGGAGGGAAGGGAGGCAGGAGGGGATTTTTTTCCAAGATTTCCCTGGGATCAGTGATCGCTGGTGGTCGCTGGTGGGTCGCGGGACACCTTTGCGCCCCCACCCACTCTACCGCGCACAGGCCCTTTTGCCCGTGCTGCGGCAGCAATGCTGACAGCCTCGGCGGCGCTGGCGTGACTGCCGCGCCGCCGAGGGCCCTCTTTGCGACTGGGCAGCGACCCTGCTCCTGTCGCTCCCAGACCTTTTAGGGCACCTGCCCTGCTCCTGCAGGTGCCCTGTCTTTGCGACTGGGCGGCGACCCTGCTCCTGTCGCCCCCAGCCCTTTTGGGGCCTGCCCTGCTCCTGCAGGCCCCAGGTCTTCTGACGGTCGCCTTGAGTCCAGGCTGGACTCGGCGGCCCCGTCTGCCACACGGGGCACGGGTGGCCCCCCCTTCGGCCCAGCGGGCTGGGGGCCCCCCCGCGAGGCGGCACGGTGCCACCTCCTTCTCTTCTCCTTCTGCGTCTGGTGCGCGTCGGGTAGTACTGCTGTCTTTTCGCCCCTGCTCGCGGCTGAGGTACTTTGTGACCTCCTTTCCGCGGCATCCTCGCCAAAGTGGCTTGTGTCTTCCGTGGCTTTCCGTCTTGTCGTGCAGGTCCTGGGCGCCTCCCTTCGGCCCGCAGGCTGAGGGCCAGGGCCTACCGTTCTGCTTGGTTTCGAAACGCTTTCAGCTTGTGCTCCATGCCTTTCGAGGCTCGTCCTTCACATGATTCAATTAGCTTGCCACCGATTCTGCATTTACCTTCTCCGTCGAAACTCGCTGCGCAGTTCCAGCAGAACCATCTCTTTGCCCGAACTGCGTGTCGCATATCATGACTTCCGTGTGTGCGATGACCTCCAGCTTGGACTTGATGCTTGTGGTTTCTCGTCCCTGCCGAGTGGCCTGCGCACTTTTTCTTTAGCCAGGTCTTCAGCACATCTTTTTTTCGTGTAGTCCACACACGACTCTGCGCAGGCTTTACAATGCCAAAGACTAGCCCTATGGGAGAGCACATGCAGCGAGATCTTGATCAGCTCCTCGATGTCTTCTTTTTCCTTCAGCTGGTCTTTCTCGTATTGCTTCTGTTTTCTTTTAAGCTCCTTGTCTTCCATGGTCATCGAGGGGTTCTTGCTGATCGCTTGGTGGGTGGATCTGCACATGCGTCTTCTTATCAGCATACCAACGGCATTGACCCATTCATAGCAATCCATTTGTCCTCGTGGAATAGCGTGTTCTTCAGCGGCCTCTCCAGCAAGAAAGTCGGCCTGTCTGTTGCCCCACCATGCTTGTAGTGGGTACCCTTGTAGTTCTGCTTCTTCTCGGCTGAGATGGCTTTGGATGTGTCGTACTAGTACTTCGTCTTCATCTGCCCCTCGTGCTTCAAGTGCCTTGCCCATCTTGTGCCAGAGGTCTGCGTTGCCACCGAGGAATGCCTTCATATGGTACTTCTTCTTCTGCCAGCCTTTATTCAGAATATCAGAGTCTGTCCAGAATGTCATCGGCCCCTTTGTCTGGATCAGCGCGTCAATCATGGCATACATTTCTGCTCGATTATTGGATTGTCTCGGGCCAGGCAAGGGTCCTTTATTACTTCCACGGCTGTATAATTCACTGGCGTGTACTTCAATCCATGCCCATCCACATCTTCGGTACCTTGGATCGCTCGCATACTCTCCACCACTGCCGTCTCCACATATACATAAAGGTTGCTGCATTGTTCCCACCAGTCGTGGTTGTGTGTCGTTCTCGAAGCTGATCTGGTCTATGGTGTCGCATGTAGGCGGTGTTGTCCATGATTTGGGAGGGATTCCACGTATCCAGAATGCCGGCATAGACTCAGCTCCTTCATGGGCTCTTTGAAGTAGGTGTTGAGAATCTTCGTAGTCTATATGATCTTCTTTTTCCTCGCAATCTTCCCAAAGTCGGTGGAA